CATAGCAATTTCGATCAATATTTCTACTTTACACAATCACAGGAGAAGGTCTAGACGTGGGTAACGGAAGGGGTCTGGGCTTGTGGGTTTATTGTGGAAGTAGAAACGAGACCCCAAGAGACCACCATCTCACCGGGAGCTTTGACCCCGTGTGGTTTCGTCCGTCTGCCGTCTCTTTGTGTGCTTCCTGTGGTGATGTAGACTCAGAAGTCTTTGTATCTGAACAATAGATGGCGCTGTATGAAGTTTTGGGCCTCACACCTTTTTAAACCGGTGTAATACGTGTTTTCCTATCTTTCGTATATATATAGTCTTTGGTTTCAGCCAGGGACAGATGTGTGGTACGATATTGTTGGCAAGGTACTCTTAAACAGATAATGTACCTGGTCTTTCATGTACCTTGATATGAGGGCAGGTGGAAGAGACAGCCGGAGTGGAAAGACTGGTGTGAGAGCAGGCGGTACAAGAGCATCCTAACTACAGGTCGTATACTACAGGATGAATGGATGGGGGTGAGAGGGAAGGAGGGGGATGAGAGGAAAGAATGGAGGAGAGAAGGAAGGAGGGGGATGAGAGGAAAGAATGGAAGAGAGAAGGAAGGATAGAGAGTGAGAGGGAAGGATAGGTAGAGAGAGGAAGGAGGAGAGAGAAGGAGAGGATATCAAATGGGAGAGAATTAGGAATGTTTATATATTCTGCAAATCTCGGACAGGGATATGTTTTATAAAGAGGTGGTATGGCTATTAGCATTAAATGATATGAATCTTTTATTACATTTTTAACTATATAGCAACTATTTTTTATGTATAAACTTTTTAAAAATCATGATATTGTATGACATCTGGAAAATAAGATAAAGTACAAGCATCAACCTTTCCCCATGCTTTATCAAATGCCCTATGTTTTACAAATCTCTCCTATAAATACAGGAAAGCACTCTTTGCAAGCAGACTATATATTTTGTCTTGCATCTGGTTAACAAATTTCTCGCTTCTCATATATAGCGTATAGAGACTAGATAGACTATTATATATTGGTATAATTTTGGGCACTAGTTGTATTCTTCTTATTAACTGTGTCCTAATGGCAGTACTAATAGAAATCTGCATATTCTCCAGTAATAGTGTATTTTCCCATTCATCTAAAATTCGCCCTTGAATCAACATATATTCCCCATTCTCTTTAAATTCTGCTCACTTTTTACATTCGGAGCCCGATCATTATTCCTATTCATTATTCGGAGCCGGAGTTGATTCTGCATTATTCTCTATTCATTATACAGGAGCCCGAGATGCTTTTACACTATTCACTTTCCTCTCCCTCTCTCTTTTTATCTCTCTCTCTCTCTATACGCTAGCCCGAGATGCTTTTACATTATTCCTATTCATTGTACAGGAGCCCGAAATGCTTTTACATTATTCCTATTCTCTCTCCCTCTCCCTCCTCTCTTTATTCTCTCTCTATATACGCTAGCCCGAGATGCTTTTACATTATTCCTATTCACTATTCGGAGCCCGAGTTGCTCTTACATTATTCACTCTTCATACAGGAGCTCACCATTCATTATACAGGAGCTATAACATTTTTGCAGAGAGAATATGACCACGTAGGGGAAGAGGTGAGAAACCGGATGGCCCTTACACGTGGGTATGTGAAGCCGCAGGAGGACGCACGGGGTAGCTGGATCACGTGGCGGCACCTGGCACGTTGATGCCTTGCCTTCGCCACTTCGGGGTCGTGTCATTGTCACAGGAATACATAAAACAAGGCAAAAGTAGAGACAGAGACAACGCACGAAAATAGTAGACCTACATTTTTTAACGGATAAGAATATATAGACACAAGTAGATACAGATGTAGAGAGAGAGAAACAGATATGGATAGAAATGGATGCACCTGGTGGCTTCGTGCATCAATGCCTCTGACATTTCCCTCCGATGTCTGGGGTCATCTCCCACCCAGTGTCTCTCCCGAAGGTAAGATGAGGCGCGAAAGACGATGTAAACAGCAGACAGTCTTCCCTTCTTTCACCAATCAGAAAATAAATATGAGACATAAACCTAAATACAAGCGTCATATTATCCCATATGAGGGGAAAATACGAATATAAAACACTTTACTACTCTAATAAACCCAACAAACTTATACCGGGGTTCTAGGAGCGCTGAAGACGCCGGGGGTACACAGCGCTGCACGTGATGGCGCCCAGCATGAACAGGTTCCCGGATGATCACGTGACGAGCTTCCATAGTCGGACCAGAGAGGTCGATCTCACTCGGCTGAACTTTGGGAGAGTTGAGTGTGACCTGCTTAACTGGGACGTGTGCTCTCCTAGGCTACAGTTTATCCTACGCTTATTTACTAGGCTATAGTTTATATGCTAAGCTACAATTTATTTATAAGGTCATAATCGATCAACTAGGTTACAATTTTTCTACTAGGCTACAACTTATCTACTAGGCTGCAACTTTTTTTCTAGGTTACAACTTATCTACTAGGCTACAACTGTTTTACTAGGCTACAACTTACATACTAGGCTACAACTTACCTACTAGGCTACAACTTTTCTACCAGGCTACAACTTTTTTACTAGGCTACAACTTATCTACTAGGCTACAAGTAAGTGGCATACATAACTTTTCAAAAAACGCATGACAATATTTACAAGACTGTGAGAATGCCTTTGATTTGTACCAATAGCATAAAGTTATAGAGGGGGCGTTACCCAGTTCTAGCCCCGCCCACTCCTGGATTCGTCCTGATGTGTGATTCAAGTGGTAAAAATAAGCTTAATATATGAATGAATGGACTGAATGGATGAATTCATTAATTATCATATATAATATAAATATATATAATAATATATATATATATATATATATATATATATATATATATATATATATATATATATATATATAGATAATTAGATAGGTAGATTATTAGTAGATGATTAATGAAAAAAATGAAATAATAAGATAATAATAATAGTAATAATGATAATATACGTTATAAGGGCGTTCTCGCTCTTTCTCAACTCTTCTTTTCCGGTAAGACGAACGTTTTTTAAAGAACTATGACGTCATAGGTATGATATCGTCAGGCCGTTCAGTATTTCCGTTTTTCGTGAAACAGGAAATTCAAATACTGTGGTAATTTCCTCAGAATAGACAGAAGAGCAGCAGGGTGGTGAATTAAGAATTACGTAAATGATTGCTACTATTTCAATAATTGCTAATAATATCAGTTGTACACACACACACACACACACACACACACACACACACACACACACACACACACACACACACATATATATATATATATATATATAATATATATATATATATATATATAATATATATATATAAATAATGCTGATGCCCTTTTCTGTATCAGTATCTTCAGTCCATATTTATTGTTGCATGCATATATACATACATATATATATATATATATATATATATATATATATATATATATATATATATATATATATATATATATATATATACATGATAGTATAGTATATATATGTATATTATATATATATATATATATATATATAATATATATATATATATATATATATATGTTATATACATAGTACATATGGATAGATAGATAGATATAGATATAGATATAGATAGATAGATAGATAAATAGATAGTATATATAATGCATGCATAACAATAAATATGGACTGAAAACACTGATACACAAGTGGCATGTCTTCAACAAAGGGAAAGACAAACCGAATGACAAACACACAAATTGAGGAAGAAATGCCTGTCATACAGATTATTGGAGACAGATAGATAAAAAAGATAGTTAAATAGATGGATATACAAGGGTATAGACAGAGATTGGTTGATAGACAGACAGAGACAGGCGGATAGGTAGACAGATAGGTTGATAGAGATATAGACAAAGAAAGAATAACAGACAGAGGAGGGTAGAGACAGAGAAAAGGAAGAGAGAGGGATGTAATCAGACGTGAATATTGCCCAGACTTATAAAAAAGTTGACTGAAGTCTTACTATGATGCAAATGTAAACGTAAATAGAATATTCAGATGTCACTCTTTGTTAATTAAAATGATTAATGATAATGATGATAAAACATACAGACGTTATATTTGGAGAACAAAGAAAAAAATATGCTATTTCAAAATTTCAAAACAAGAGGAATCCCTTTAAAATACTCGTACAATTGTTCAGACTCCCGAGTAAATAATGGGAGAGGATGAATGAACAATGAACAAAAAGGGAGTTCATTACAAGATGGAATTCTCCAAAATGTTCAAAGTTGAAAATTAAATAACATACTTTGGACACATGACAAGTATGTACAGTAATTTCATTTGTACATACTTAAGATTATTGTAGTTACATGAAATGCAGTACAAAAAGTGTTTTATAAGTAAACACTTCAAAATGGAAATTTATGGTAGAATGAAAAAAATAAATGAGCATTGTATAATAATTTATTTCAGTTGTATACATATCGTTATAGCGAAATTGATGATTCTTTGGCGAAATTAAGGAACGACATATGATGTGAATAATAATCACAGAGTGCAAGCGAGGTTATTTACCTTAAAACTAGATAATCGAATAAATAACGATTAATGTAACATGGAAGCAAGATCAGTATGAGTATATGTAAATGACAAATAAATAATGAATCAAACTCTGTGTATGAGAATAAATAAGTGAATAATTTAATACACAGTATGAAAATATATACCATATATCATATAAGCCTTGTATAGTAGCTAAATATAGTTCTATAGAACTGCACTAAACTTAATATAGTAATGAATAAAATACATGCAGGCTGAATGGATGAATGGATGTATAATAATTTATATCTATATAAAGAAATGTATATATCTATATAAAGAAATGTATGATATAATTCATATAAATAATTTCTATATATTATATAATATCTATATATTTTTTTTTTCAAGGGCAGCTTTGTAAATAATCTATAATGTATAATAATTTTATATAATTTTTTTTTCTTCAAGGGCTGAACTTCGGATCCAACTCCACACAAGCGACTTCGACGAAATCCCGAAGGAGTTTTAAGGTTTCAGATTCTGCAAGATCCACCTCCTGTAGGACGCTACGTTGGTGTAGATGGAAGCCACGCCTTCTGTCCCGCAGTTCTTGTAGCCGTACGAGACGATGCCAAGCTGTAGGGAGGTAGTTATTTATTACGATGATTTTGTGCTGATTTCGAAGGATATTCTGTCGATGAGAGAGAGAGAGAGAGAGGAGAGAGAGAGAGGAGAGAGGAGAGAGAGGAGAGAGAGAGAGACAGAGAGAGAGAGAGAGAGAGAAGAGAGAGGGAGAGATGGAGGGAGGGAGAGATGGAGATCGAGAGAGAGACGAGAGAGAGAGAGAGAGAGAGAGAGAGAGAGAGAGAGAGAGAGAGAGAGAGAGAGAGAGAGAGAGAGAGAGAGAGAGAGGAGGGAGGAGAGGAGAGAGAGAGAAGAGAGAGAGGGAGAGAGGAGAGAGAGGGAGAGAGAGGAGAGAGGGGAGAGGGAGAAGAGAGAGAGAGAGAGAGAGAGAGAGAGAGAGAGAGAGGAGAGAGAGAGAGAGAGAGAGAGAGAGAGAAGAGAGAGAGAAGGGAGAGAGAGAGAGAGAAGAGAGAGAGAGAGAGAGAGAGAGAGAGAGAGAGAGAGAGACAGAGAGAGAGAGAGAGAGAGAGAGAGAGAGAGAGAGAGAGAAGAAGAGAGAGAGAGAGAAAGCAATACTGAACAAATCATAAACCTATCTGTTTTGTTGTAAAAAAAAATCGCTCAGTAATTTTATTCATTAAAAAAAATCGCTTCAAAAAAGAAAAAGAAAGAAAAAAAAAACACTTTTTTTTCTTTTTCCATCACATAAAAAAAAAAAAAAAAAAAAAAAAAAAACGCCGTTTCCTTGCGCCTCCCGAGCCTCACCTGGACGTGCGGCGCCCCTGGGTACTTGGTCTGGAAGAGAGGGCCCCCGGAGTCCCCCTTGCAGGAGTCCTTGAAGTCCACCCCGCCGAAACACACCTGAAGGGGGGGGGGAGTATGTGTTTTTATTTACGTTTTGTTAATTTACTTTTGTTAATCACTAATGGCGTATTTGCTTTTGTTGTTGTTATCATATTATCTTAATCTTCAAGCATCATTATCACTATTATTGCTGTTGTTCCGATTGTTATCCTATATATAATTTGCTTCTGTTTTATCTGCTTCTAATAAGTTTTTAAATCATTATCTTGATGGAGTTACACATTTTAGCCTCATTTCAGAGTTACGTGATTCCCTGTTCAAATGAATGAATATCTGAACAAACAAATAAATAAATAAATGGATAAAATAAAATAAACGAATGAATAAACGCTCACAAAAATAATAACAACAGTAAGCACCATCTCACCTGTTCCTTCAGCAGCACATTGCGGTAGTTCTTCCTACACACGCTCAGAGGGACATGAGGCACGGTGGCTGAGAGAAGCCTGCCGAGACTGTAACCCGATTTAGTCACCCCCCAACCTGCTATGATGGCCCCGCGTTCTCCCACGAATTTCTCTGGGTCCGTGTCGACATATGATTGCACGTCTGGTAAAAAGGAAAAATGTGTCTTAGAACAAATACATCAAGAACATTTAGATTGCACGTAAGGGGCTGGTGGGAAAGGAAAAATGTCTTAGAACAATATACACCGTGTCCTCAACCGGGAGACATATAGATTGCACGAAAGAGGCTTGGTGGGAAAGGAAAAATGAGTTTTTAATGAATATGAACCGTGTCCTCAGCCAGGAGACATATAGATTGCACGTAAGTGGCTGGTGTGAAAGGAATATTGTCTTAGGTCCTCAGTCGGGAGACATATAGATTGCACGAAAGGGGTTGGGTGGGAAAGGAATAATGTCTTCGAACAATATACACCGTGTCCTCAACTGGGAGACATAGATTGCACATAAGGGGCTGGTGGGAAAGGAAAAATATGTCTTAGAACAATATACACCGTGTCCTCAACCAGGAGACATATAGATTGCACGAAATAGACTTGGTTGGAAAGGAAAAATGAGTTTTTAATGAAAATGTACCGTGTCCTCAGCCAGGAGACATACAGAATGCACGTAAGGGGCTTGGTGGGAAAGGAGAAATGAGTTGTAAGTGAATATGCACCCTCTTCTCAGCCGGGAGAATTATAGGTTGCACAAAAGGAGCTACTGGGATAGAAGAAATGTTCTTGATAAATGTGTACTTTGTTCTCAGTCGGGAGACATATAAGTTTTGGGAAAGAAGAAATTTATATGAGATAAATGTGAATGTGGGAATCAGAGACAGATTGGGGGATGGGAATGGGAGTTGGGGGAGGAGAAATTGATATAAAGAAAATAAATGACACAGGTGAAAATACAAACCAAACCCTTAAAAACGAAATAGTATTAAAAAAAAACTCACTTTTAAGATCCACATCTCTGTCCAGCCTGATCAACGCAATGTCATCACTCTCAGGGGCCCTTTTGTTGAAAGTGGGATGGGCAACCACTTCCTCAATACCGAATGTCTGCGGGGGAAGTGTGCATATTTCTCCCCCTCCTCCCGCTCTCCTGCAGTCCTTTTCCGCCCTCAGGTCATGTTCCCCGAGCCGCACTTTGCTCCTGTGGGGGAAGGGAGATCGGCATTAGGTTTAGGGAGAAATTTCGATCCGCAACGAGGTTTGGGGGAGAAAATCGTGAACTTTTACAAGGTTTAGGGGGAAAATATTGAGCCGTCACAAGGATTAGGGGGAAAATCGTGAATTCCTACAAGTGTTTAGGGGGGAAAATATTGTTACAAGGATTAGGGGGAAAATCGTGAACTACAAGGTTTGGGGAGAAAATCGTTAATTCTACCAGATTTAGGGGAAAAAATTGAGTCGTCACAAGCTTTGGGGAGAAAATCATGAAAACCTACAAAGTTTGGGGAGGAAATATTAAGTCGCCACGAGGCTTGGGGAGAAAATCGTAATCCACTTCAAAGTTTATGGACAAAAAATTGATCCGTCCAAAGATTTAATAAGAAAATCATGAACCGCCAAAAAGATTTACAGATAAAAAAAAAAGAAGTGACATTTCCCCTACAATGGATTACATTCCCCTTCTGTACCTACAACACAAACCAACTTTCTCCTTTCTCATTTCTCTCCCCATTTTTTTTCCATACTATCATGCACGTACCAACAACATCAACTTGTACAAGAATCTTACAGGGTATGCTTCTCGTTATATTCGGGCATCGTGCAGTGGGCAGCCGTGAGGACATAGCGTCTGTTGATAAGCGAACCGCCACAACCCCACTTCACGTCGGCTTTTGGGTCGTTTCCGGGAGCTGAAAGGAGGAAGGAATGCAGGTTTGAATGACTGAACTGATAATGGTTGTAGAAGTAATGGTGAAAACAATGATGATTGTAGAAGTAATGATGAAAATGATGATGATTGTTGAATTAATTATGAAAATAATGATGATTATAGATGTAATGATGGAACAAATGATGATTGTAGAAGTAATGATGAAAATAATGATGATTGTAGAAGTAATGATGAAAATGATGATTGTAGAAGTAATGATGTAAATAATCATGATAATAATAATATTATTAATAATAATACACTATTACTGACTGCTACTAATGATGCTAATAATAATAATAATAATACACTATGACTAATGATACTACTACTACCATTAATGATAATGAGAATAATAATAAGTGATGATAATGATAGTGATAATGATGATAATAAGAGTAATAATGACATTAATATCTAATAATAATGATAACAATAACAAAGCAATGACAATAATGATAATAAAAGTGACAATACTCTTAGAAAAAAAATGACAACATGAAAATAATATATCAAAATTAAGATTATTCCACACAAAGAAAGGAGAACGAAACACACAAGAATGCAGCGACAGCGAAGAAAGAAAGAAAGATAGAAAAGAAAGAAGAAAGAAAGAAAGAAGAAAAAAAGAAAGAAAAGAAGAAAAAAAGAAAGAAAAGAAAGAAAAGAAAAGAAAGAAAAGAAAGAAAAAGAAAAAAAAGAAAAAGAAAGAAGAAAAAAGAAAGAAGAAAAGAAAGAAGAAAAAGAAAGAAAAAAAGAAAAAAGAAAAGCGAAGAACCTCACCGTCGAACCCCAGCACAGCCATCCAGGGGAAGGCGCCGAACCGAACCTTTTTCCCCCGTGAGATTCTGGTTCCCAAGGGCGAGTAGCCGCAGTGTTCGGGTAGCAGGTCCTCCCCCTTCTCTTCGGCAGGCAGCGCTCGGCCGGGAAAGGGGACGGGAGGACGGGTCGTGGGCGTGGTAATTTCCGGGACAGGGGGCGGCGATTTCCGAGGCAGGGGGCGTGGTGATTCCGGGCAGGGGCGTGCGATTTCCGGAGCAGGGGCGTGGCGATTTCCGAGGCAGGGCGTGGTGATTTCTCGGGCTGGGGGCGGAGTCTGGGGGTGCGTTGACGTAGGGGTGGTGGGTGAAGGTGGCTTATTGGGCGGGGTTATGGGGCCTCCACGGGCGGGGTTTCGACAGCATACCTTATATGGGGAGAAAATAATATTGATTGAGATTCTGGTGTTGGGTCCGTTGATACTGGGCGTGCAACTGTTTTTGTTGTTTTGTGTGGTTTCTGTGTATGTGTACGTCTGTGTCTGTCTGTATCTGTGTCTGAAGGCATGTTCTTGTTCAAGATGTGTGGTTAGTGTATATGTACGTATGTGTCTATCTATATCTGCGTGTCTGTGTGTATGTTCTTGGTCTTGTTGTGTGGTTTCTGCCTATGTGTACATGAGTATGTGTATCTGTATCTGTGTGCATATTGTATGTGAGTATGTGTGTATCTGTGTCTGTGTATATATTTTTTTGTTCTTGTGTGGTTTCTGTGTGTGTACGTATGTGTGTATCTGTGTTTGTGTACACATTTTTCTTGTTCTTGCTGTGTGGTTTCTGTGTATGTATACATGGGTAGATGTGTACCTATATCTGTATGTATACTGATCGTTATTGTTGTGTGGCATCTATACATGTGTACATGAGTGTATGTGTATCTGTATTCTTGTTCTTCCTGTATGGTTTCTGTATATATGAACGTGAATATGTCTGCATCTGTGTATGCATCTGTATGTCTGTGTCTGTGTATGCATCTATTTTTCTGTACCTGTGCATGCATCTGTATCTGTATGTCTGTATGCATCTGTGTATGCTGTGTCTGCATCTGTATGTCTGTGTATGCATCTGTATGTCTGTCTGTGTATGTCTGCCATCTGTATGTCTGTATTGTGTATGCATCTGTATCTGTGTATGCATCTGTATCTGTATGTCTGCATCTGTATGTCTGTATCTGTGTATGCATCTGTATGTCAGTATCTGTGTATGCATCTGTATGTCTGTGTCTGTGTATGCATCTGTATCTGTCTGTATGCATCTGTATGTCTGTATCTGTGTATGCATCTGTATGTCTGTATCTGTGTATGCATCTGTCTGTATGTATCTGTATGTCTGTATCTGTCTGTATGCATCTGTATGCATCTGTATCTGTATGTCTGTATGCTGTATGCTGTATGTCTGTATCTGTGTATGCATCTGTATGTCTGTATGCATCTGTATCTGTATGCATCTCTGTATGTCTGTATCTGTGTATGCATCTGTATGTCTGTATCTGTGTATGCATCTGTATGTCTGTATCTGTGTATGCATCTGTATCTGTATGTCTGTATCTGTGTATGCATCTGTATGTCTGTGTCTGTGTATGCATCTGTATGTCTGTATCTGTGTATGCATCTGTATCTGTATGCATCTGTATGTCTGTATCTGTGTATGCATCTGTATCTGTATGCATCTGTATGTCTGTATCTGTATGTCTGTCTGTGTAATCTGTATGTCTGTGTCTGTGTATGCATCTGTATCTGTATGCATCTGTATGTCTGTATCTGTGTATGCATCTGTATCTGTATGTCTGTATCTGTATGTCTGTATCTGTATGCATGTATCTGTATGTCTGTATCTGTGTATGCATCTGTATCTGTATGTCTGTATCTGTATGTCTGTGTCTGTGTATGCATCTGTATCTATGTCTGTATGTCTGTATCTGTATGTGTATTCATATCTGGCATGCATCTGTATCTGTATGCATCTGTATGTCTGTATCTGTGTATGCTGTCAGTATCTGTGTGCATCTGTATGTCTATCTGTGTATGTGTGTATGCATCTGTATGTGTATCCTGTATCTGTGTGTATGTACTCTGTATGCATCTGTATGTCTGTAATGCATCATACATCTGTATGTATGTGTATCTGTGTATATCTGTATGTATCTGCATCTGTATGTCAGTATATGCGTATGCACCTGTCTTCCTGACTATCTACAATCAGAAAACGTATCTCCAAATGCATGTCCTTCTGCACGTGAGCCGCAGACAACGACCTTCTGCGTCTACCTCTACAGTAGTGCCCTCACCTTGGGTATCCTCCCAGCGAAGCCACAGGTCGACTGCTGTAGCTGTTTGATTCCTGAGGGCGTCGGGTTCTTCAGGACCAGGAGCAGGTCAGGGCAGGAGGTCAGGATAGTGCATATTGACCCAGGGAGGCATGGGTTGGAGGCTGGAAGGGAAATGTTGCAGTTAAGTTTGGTGAGTTGGTTTGTGTGTGCTTGTTTTGGGCTGTTAAGAGATGGGTGGATGTGTGTGTGTGTGTGTTATGTGTATGTATGTATGTGTGTATGTATGTGTGTATGTATGCTGTATCATGTATGCATGTGTATATGTATTTATGAATGTGTATGTGTCTGTATGTATGTGTGTATATGTATGTATGATGTATTTGTATGTATCTGTATATGTATGTATGAATGTATTTGTATGTATCTGTATGTATGCATGTGTATATGTATGTATGAATGTATTTGTATGTATCTGTATGTATGCATGTGTATATGTATGTATGAATGTATTTGTATGTAGCTGTATGTATGTGTGTATATGTATGTAATGTATTTGTATGTATCTGTATGTATGCATGTGTATATGTATGTGTATTTGTGTATCTGTATGTATGTGTGTATATGTATTTATGTATGTATGTATGTATGTATGTGTGTGGTGTGTGCGTGCGTGCGTGCGTGTGTGTGTGTGTGCGTGCGTGTGTGTGTGTGTGTGCGTGCGTGTGTGTGTGTGGTGTGTGTGTGCGTGTGTGTATGTGTGTGCGTGTGTATGTATGTGCGTGTGTGTATGTATGTGAGTGTATGTGTGTGAGTGTGTGTGTGTGTGTGTGTGTGTGTGTGTGTGTGTGTGTGTGTGTGTGTGTGTGTGTGTTGTGTGTGTGTGTGTGTGTTGTGTGTGTGTGTTAATGTATTATGTGTTTATGGATGAATTTACGTATGTGTGTATGTGTATATGTATGTATGTGCAGTATGTATTTACATATGCATTAATGAATGCAAGAACAATCAGTTTATATATAATAAAAAATAATAATCACATGTCTTCCACAATCCCACACACAAAAAATCTCAACTCACAAGAAAAAAGCAAAAACACAAACACAAACAAAAAAATAACAACCTCATCAAAACTCAAAAATAAAGTTTCACAAAATCCATCCTCGGTGTCATGGTCAAGCAGTCATGACCTGTCTGCTCCGCCAACAACATGTTTGGTTGGATGTTTCGCCACAACTAACCTTGTCTGGAGGTCCTGGGAGCAGCGTCCACGGGGAGGGCAAGCAGGAGCCAGAGTGGAAGTAGAAGGACCCCCTTTGGAAGGAATCGAATGCCTTTTACCATAGCCTTCTGTGGAGTGGAAAGGGTTTGGGAGGGTATAAGTTACTCGGTTTGTATAGAATCGAATGCTCTTTTTACCGTATATTTCTGAGGAGTGGAAAAAGTTTGGAGAGGTGTTTTGGGGGGGGGGGGATAAGTAGTCTGGTTTGTATGGAATCGAATGCTTTTTTCCGATTAGCTTTTTTTCTTTCTTTTTTTACTATTTCTTCCTGTGTAGTGGAAAGGGTTTGGGCGTATAAGTTGTCTGGTTTGTATGGAATCGAATGCTTTTATTTCGTTTGGCTTTTGTTTTTTATCACATCTTTCTGTGGAGTGGGAAGGATATGATGTATAAGTAATCTGGTTTGTATAAAATCCAATCCTTTATTTTTCGTTTTGTTTTCGTTTTTAACCATATCTTTCTGTGGAATGAGAAAAATATGAGGTATAAGTTATTTTTTTTTTTTTATAGAATCGAATGCCTTTCATCGCTTTGCTTTCGTTTTTTTTCACCACATATTCCTGTGAAATGGAAAATATAAGCGGTATAAATGATATGGTTTGCATAGAATCGAACGCACCTTTTTTTAAACCACATCCTTCCGTGGAAAGGAAATGACCTCGACCATAAGCATCAGGCTTAGATACGTAACGGTCGTGTATAAGGAAATACGTTCGGATCCGTAGAACGAGCGAGCATAAGTGGATGATTATAGAGTACTGGCGGTTCGTACATCTAGCAGGTGCCAACGCATGTGTTTTTCGCATATTTTTTTTTATTTTGAACTTCTTTCTTGTATTTTAACCTCATTAAATAAAAGATTAATAAATAAAAAAAATATATGATGATGGTGCTTAAATAATAATAATAGTGGCAATGGAAAAAGTCGCATTGGTTGTTTAATAGTAGTAATGGTGATGATGAGAATAAGGAAGATGATAATGACGATAGCAATGAAATAATGATGATAACTGAATTCCAATGATAATAATTATTCTAGTAAAGATAAAGATAATTATAGTAATGGTATAATAATTAGAATAATAAAGAAAACATAATGATAATGATGTCAATACCAGTACAACTATTAAAATAACAAAAAAAATAATGATAATAATAATAGTAATAATAATAATAACAGCAGTAACAATCATCGTATTAATACTATTAGTATTACTACTGTTGTTGCTGATAATAATAATAATAGTAATAATAATGATATCAACAATGATAATAATAACGATAATGATGGTAATAATAATCATGAAAATATCTGGTTTATATGAATCTCTTTATGAAGTATAAGTTATATGAACCTCATTGCCTCACATGGTATTTGGAGTTAGGTTAGGACACTAATTTGCATAAGTAAATGCTATGTAAAAGAAATAAAATGGAAATATTGTTTTGAAAAAAAGGATGAATTTGGATACATTAAATATCTAAATGACATGGATAAATAGATGAATGAATGAATATATGTATAAGCGCATGAATAAAGGAATAAATATATGAAATGAATATAAGTATATATAAATGTATAATGTATGAATATAATGTGTATATATTATAATGTATAAGTAAATGTATAATATATACAACTGATATATGTGTAAGCAAATGAAGATAGGAATGAATAGATAAAGAAATTGATAAATAACTAGAAAAAATTAATTAAAAAAATGAATAAATGTGTAAATAGATAAAGAAGGAATAATAAGCTCAAAAATAATAAATTAATATGTCAATAAACAAATAAAAAAGTAAATACATATACGTTAAAATAAAATAAGATGCAATTAAATTCAAAAACTCAAACTGCACATTCATTTACCTTTAGAACTTCAATGTTAAGGTCTCTTCACGTAAGCGATGATAAGCGAGAGCGAAGACTCACTTACGACGACTGTCTATAAACTGATTAGCAGCCTGAGGGAAGTGTTGTTATATAAGCGGTGGCTGAGGACTTGTGGCGCCTCGTAATTTGCTGTTTAAGAGCATCAATATGTCGAAATATCTCGTAATCTTCTCCTTTTTTCTCGAAAGGATTTCCGGTGTGTTCTACCAGGAAATATTCTTTTTTTTTTTTTTTTGCTTATTCTTTGTGTATGCTTTTTTTTCTTTCTAATTAGTGATTCGTTTGTTTGTTTGTTTATGTGCATTTCCATTTTTGCTAGTTTATGTATCTGTTTTTCTTTGTTTGTTGCGTTTTTTTTTCTCTCGTTTTCTTTTGATCTGATCTTTCATTTCCAAGAACTACTTTTTCTCTTTTTTGGAAATATTACCATTCATTTTTCTTCGTCTGTCTTTTTACATTTTTTGGAACTTAAATCCTTTATTTCATACTTTATTAACCTACTTTTTCGTTTCTTATGTTTTTCTCTTTCTTTTCTCTCATTCTGTAATTTCCACATAGTCATCGACTTTCTCAATTTCTTTCCTTCTCTTCATCTCTGTCATGTCTTTCTTCTCCTACTTTTTCTTCTTATCCTTCTTCTTCTTCAGAAACAAAATAAAAATAAATAAGTTAAATAAGTTTTTTATAGTCTTTTTTCTTCTTAAGAAACAAAATAAAAATAATAAAAGGGTTATTTTTAGGCAACGACACATAATAAACTCTCTCTATATATAACCTTTATTTCTCCGAATTTTCCTTTGTTTCCCTCCCTCTCCTATGACGTCACGATCACACGCCCACCACCCACCGCCCCGCCGCCCCGCGCCTCTGTAATTCGTATTCCGCGAAAACGCCACGTGACTCCGTGTGCGTGTAATGCGGGTGGGCGTGAATGCGCGTGCGTGTGCGTGTGTGCGTGTGTGCGTGCGTGCGTCAGTGCGCCCGGAATTGTGATACAAGATTGCACAGTCATGATTCATAAGGGGCGGCTGTGTCGTCTGGATGATACGTTTTGGATAGATTTAGATAGGTATGGCCGTGGGCGGACTGCGCAGATACGAATGCACATGCACATGCTTACATAATATATACATACACATGCATATGTATAATTCTATGTACACACACACAACACACACACACACACACACACACACACACACACACACACACACATCACACACACAGACAGAAGAGAGAGATGACGAGAGAGAGAGAGAGAGAGAGAGAGAGAGGAGAGAGAGAGAGAGAGAGAAGAGAGAAGAGAGAGAGGAGAGAGAGAGAGAGAGAGAGAGAGAGAGAGAGAGAAGAAGAAGAGAGAGAAGAGAGAGAGGAAGGAGACAAGCAGAGGACAGGGGCAGAGAGAGAGAATAAATGAATGCCCATAAAGATGCAAACCAGATAAGCAGTAATTAGAAGAACATGAACACGACTGCATAATCACGCGCAACCCATGAGCATCTCCTTTGTACGTAGCCTAGATTTCACAACTAAATAAAGCTTTTATCAAGGAATTCGTTCTACTTGTAAAATCTCTGGGTCTTTTCTTGGTTTTATTCTTTTTTCTTCGTTCTGAAACTAGGGTTGAAATACTATTATCCGAAACGTGATGATATTAATTGTCTCTGTACATTATCTTTGCTTTAGGATGAGTCTGGATCTGTAATATCATGAAAATCGTATGCAGATGATATTAGTGATATGCGTTTTTGTGTGTGTGTTGTCCATGTTTTCTTTCTGTTATTTTGGTTATTTATTTATGGCCGTATTTGGTGCCTCAGAGAGAATAAGCGCAGATGGGATGGGAACGAGGAGGCAAGGAGGAAAAAAAAACAAAGTCATGTAAGAGAAGGATAGTGTTTGTGCTTGCGTGTGTGCTTGCGTGTCAGGTCATGGGGTCAAATGGCACTCTCAAGCACATGGCTACTCTTCTCCTGTTTCTACGCTGCGTGAGAGAGTCTAGACGAACTGGTGGATGGGATTATTCAATAAACGAGACATGGAAGAAACGGAAAAAGTGGATATCTATGCGAGGTGGAAGAAGGAAAATTCATGACATTAAAAAGGACAAATAAACACAGGCTTTGCGCGCATAGAAAACGGAAATGACCGAATAAAAGTTATCAATAGAAAACGACCTTTTTTAGTTCATTTACCCGGAAGGAAAAAAATACACTCAAAGAAAGAAATAACCCACGCAAAAAAAAAAAAAAAAAAAAAAAAAAAAAAAAAAAATCTTGCGTAGGTCTCAATCTGTTTACTGTTGCGTCTTAACTCCCCCCCCCCCCCCCGACACCTCCCCACCCCTGCCTCTTATGCAATAGCGTGCACAAAGAACCACTCACGCACAGCGCTTCACAGATCTACTTCAAGCAGTGACGTCACACATGAAAGAATATTCTGACTTTTTTTATTTTCTTTTTTGTAAGTTACAGAGAATGATGATAATGGTAATCATCATTATTATTTTTATTATTTATTTATGATTATTATCATTATTATTATCATTATTGTTATTATTATTATCATTATTATTATTGTTATCATTATTATTTATTCATTATTCTTATTACTATCATTATGTTATTATTATTATCATTGACTTGCTTATCATTATCATTATTATTATTATTATCATTGTTATTATTAATAATATCATTATTATCATCACTATTATCTACTCATTACCATTTCATCTTAAATATTCTAATTATTATTATTATTATTATTATCATTATTATTATTATTATTATTATTATTATTATTATTATTATTATTATTATTATTATTATTGATTATTTCATTATCATTGTTATCATCATTATCATACCATTATCCATGCTATTATTGTCATCATTATCATCATTGATCGTCATATTGTTTCTTTGTTCTATATTATTATCGTAAATTATTATCTTCTTATTATTATTATTATTATTATGATTATTATTATATCTATTATTATTTATACATGTATTATTATAATTATTATTAATATTGTCATTATCATTATTATTGTTATTATTATTATTATTATTATTATCATTATTATTATTATTACTATTATTATTATCATTATTATTATTATCATCATCATTATTATTATCATTATCTTTATTATTAACATTATTGCTATTATTATCATTATTATCTTTATCATGAATATTATTATTATCATTATCATTATCGTTATTATTATCATATTATATTGTTATTATTAATCATATTCCATTACTATTGCTGTTATGATTATCATAATTATCATCATTGTTATTATCATTATCATTATTATTATAGCCATAGCAATCATTATCACAATAGAAATAATGATAATAATCATCAATATTTTCGTTATCATCCCTATCATTATTGTGATCATTAATATCATTACTAATATCATTCTGATGACAATGATATTGGTAATAGTAATGATAGTAATTGAAATGATTATGCTAATGATAATGTAAATGATAACAATGGTAATGATAATGATAATAGCAAGAAAGTTAATGACAATAATAACAATAATGAAAATAATAGTAATGATAATCATAATGAGAATAATAATAATAATGATAATGATAGTAATAATAACAATAATAAATAATTATAATAATAATAAAATAACAATAATAATATAGTAATCAATAACAGAAACAACAATTAATAAATATTAATAATTGATAATAATGATTGGTTTTATCATTATTATATTATGATTATTATTATTTATTATTAATTTATTATTATTATTATCATTATTATATATTATTATTATATTATTTTATTATTTATTTATTATTATTATTAATTATTATCATTATTATCATTATTATTTATTATTATTATTCATATTATTATTATTACATTATTATTGTTGTTATTATTACCATCATTATTATTAATACTACCATTATTGTTGTTATTGTTATCATTATTATCATAATAACAATAACAATAATAATAATGATAACAAAAATTATAATCATAGCAACAATTATGATAACAATAATGATAATCGTGATAATAATGACAATGATAATGATAATGCCAATAATAAGAAAGTAATGAAAATGAAATGATGATAATAATGGTAACGATAATAATAGCAATAATAATAATGATGATAACAATAATGATAGTAATAATAATGATGATAATAATGATAGTAATAATGATAATAACAATTATTAGCAATTAAGAATGATAATAATAACAACAGTAATAACAAATTAAATAACAATAACATTTTTTTTATAATGATAACAATAATCAGATGATGGTGGTGAGGTCGACTGATGGGGGGGGAAAGGCGAAAAAGGGGGGGAGGGTAGGGAGGAGGGCGAGGAGAGGCGACGGGGGGAGGGGGAGGGGGGGGGGGAGGGTTGTTAGGCTAAAATCACGTGATCACAAAAACGAGAGTTGACTGTCTCTGAGATGACCTTTCCTTCATATCCAGAGAGAGGTCAAGCTTGCGAAGGTCAGATCACCGAGCATGGGAGGGGCATGCGGGTACTTGGTGGTTGTCCATGTGGCTAGAATCCTGTGGATATAGAGCAGTGCTTCCCATTTTTGTTGTTGATGTTATGATTGTAAATACAGTCTTAGCAATGACTAGAAATATATGTGAGAGTGTAGTAATAAATCCACCTATTTTCTTGTTACTCATATTTGCAAAATTTTATTAATTTACGTTTATTTTATTTATACAGGTTTACAGACTTCTACCTCGCGACTATGGTGTGTGTGTACGTGTGTATGTGTGTGTGTTGAGTGTGTACGTGTGCACGATTTTAAGTTTATGTGTGCGTTTGCTGCGCATGTGTTGTGTGCATTTTTTGTGTTGACAGATATTCATACAAATTTGCAATTGTCTTTGTGCAAATACATGTGCATGTTTGTGCTTTTGTGTGTATGTGCTTTTTGGGGGAAATATACAATATTAGTCTATCATATACTCTTCTACCGCATAGCCACCTCCCGGGACAACATACTCGTACTCTCTCTCCCCTCAAGGTCGTCCTTCACATGCACTTCCTCCATCTCCTCCACTTCCTTGTCCTCAGATACCCTCGAGGATGACCTATGCA